AATCACCCAAAAGTTTACTAATAAAGTGGCAGCCTATGCACTAAGTAAAGCTGCCCAAATGATAATTTTGCTATAATTTAGTCGGCCGGTATTATTGCTTAATGCCACTTTGCTCCGGCCCATCCCTGACCCCAAATTCGAGCCGATTTGCTGAATTTTGGTGGACCCACTAATATATTCTTCGCAAAAGGTAACATTTTAAACAAATTCGTAAGATACAAAACATTGACCACTTTTTTAAAAAATTTCTTTCAATTAAAGTTACGTTTAGATTATCAATCGCAATGTGAAGAAAATACTGTCTTATCGAATTAACAATTAATCGATAACTTTTTTAAAGAATTTGAATGTAATCCTGTTAGTAAAGTATCTTATGGTAAAAGTTGCCAAACAAAAAGATGGCAAAAACCGGCAGCAGTAAACACTAACGCATTATCATCAAAAGGAAAATCTCAAGAACCACTGGTTTCTTTCAACATCAAAAAATCAGAGAATTACTTAAGTGTTCAAAAGTCACAGAAGTCACATGCGAAAAAAGATCTCATACGAAAATCTTTGGTGAAAAGTGCCAAAGTTATGACAAATTGTAATGAAGACCATACTGAAAACGGTGAAATTAAAAATGATAATTTTAAAAGCAATCTTTCCAATAGTACTAGTAATGACGATAACATTTCAATGTGCTCAAAATCACAAAACGACAAAGTCGATATTATTCACAGCTACAATAATAGCTTAAACAGTGAGAAGACTACTAACGCTAATGCAACAAAAAAACCAAATCAGTCTAGCAATGTTAAAAAGATCAACAATAATAGTGTCAAATACAGTAATGCTAGTAAATGCAATGCGTGCAACCTTAAAAAAATCGGTAACAATAGCGTAAACAATAGTAATAATGTTGAAAGCGCTATGAAGGCATCATGCAATTTCAATCAAATGAATAGTTCTAAAAAATTTGATATTAAGCAAAAACCAATGGTCAAAATTGATAAAGTCTGCGCTATATTGAAAAAGCCATCGAGTTCGTCATTATCCACCAAAATTGATTCTCAATCACGTAAAACATCAGAAACAACGACAAAAAATTCTTCAACAGTTATCAAACAATCCATATCCGTCAATGTTTCCAATACACCAATTGCTTTGCCACTTCCTACACCACCTTTATCTCCATCAAAGAAAGTTAATTCCAATAGTGAAGATAACATAATGTCGACTAAAATAACCATCGCGTCGCCATCACTTTTATACTCAATCACTAACAAAGACGCGAAAAAGAAGTCATGGGATACGCCATTCTCGCTTATCGAAGGATTAAAACAAGATCTCGAGTATTTGTTAGGGTTCGATAAATTTAATCAATGCTATAAACTTTTAACCTTGCTCCCAAAAAAAACAAAAAATCAGCGATGAAAATTCGAACCAATCAAGAAAGATAGTAAGAGAAAAGATTATTGAAGCAAAGTTGAAACTTCTTCTAAACGGTAGAGGCCAACATAATTACATACCCATTTTGAAAGAGTTGGGTAAGCAGATTTTAAATTATTAATTACTATCGCTATTCGTTACCGAATTAATGATTTCAAATCAAAACTTCCTGTGGCTAAATTTAGTACTTTTGAACAAGAAGCATATTTTGAGTAATTTTGAGTAATTTATTGAGTAATTTTTTCATGGCGTTCAAAAAAAACAATTTCCGGTTATTCTCAAATATCGAATTTCCGAATATATATCTATTATATTAAATTTTACGTAATAATAAGCAACTGAGTGGCGCATTTAGTTTTATTAATATGGAATATAAATAATATTAGTTTTTCTGAGGTCAATTTTATTTTTCATTCATATCACTCTCGAACTTGTCACTTTTTAAAAAATCGAATTGTGTAACGAAAAAATAAAAATATGTATCAGATTTATTTTTAAACCGTTAACAATAAAAATAGACAAAAGGCCAGACTAAGGCAACCAATAAAGACTTTTATATTAATATAGAATTAATTAATCATAAAATAAACACCAAAACACCCTAATGTTACCAAATATTTTTGGCAATGATTAACAAATAAAAGAATTCGTTAAAAATTGTTATTGTATAAAGGCAAATTTAATATTGATTCAGTCAACATCGATATAACTGAAATCCGGGCTAGCCTAAAAGTTCCGCTATATTGCATATACATATTCTCTATGTTTATATAACGGAATAGGCATTAAATTCCGTTATAAACCTATTTTTGACCTGATTTTTTTTTTTTTTATAGTAATCTTGGTCATTGAACACTCTCTGATTGATGCATTATTGTTACGTATATTAAATGTATTAAATGGATCAGTAAAAATTAGTAATTGCGATTGGGCTGACAAAAATGTAATAATGGCTTTTTCACTATCGAATTTGTTATAACCGTTTCTAAATGTCCGTTAAAAAAGTTTGATACTTCAAGCTTGATCCGTTAAACTGATGAATCTGGTGCAAGAATCTCCGTTAAATCGATAGCTAATTATATTATATATATATAATTTATATTCGTAGTTTGTTCGAAATAATACAAAAAGCATTAAAAATAAATTTGAGTAATTTGTTTAAATTGTGTTTAATGTACAAATTTTTTTTTTTTGTTTAGAGTAATAATCGAACCCAATTGCAGGTTATAAGAGAGGTTGAACTTAGTAACACATTTGGGAAAAATTAAACTATAATACATATGGGCTGAATGCTAGAACAGACGAAATTAGTATAATTGAAAGTTTTATTTTATTGGCTGCAAATATGCAACTTGAAGATTATAATTTATATATCATATTTGGTTAATAAAAATTTTATATCGATGTCGATATACGTATAGAATTATTTTTATTATAACAGATTATTAAAAAATTTATACGTATTGAAATTATAAGATAAAGGATATAATTACAAAAAAAAAAAGATTTTATATAGTATAAAAAGATAAGGTATTTCGTTTTTGCATTTCTTAAACTGTTACGTACGTACGTAGTATATATAGCTAGCAAAAAAATTTGTCTACTAAAAATCAAAAATTTTTGTCTAATTTATTTTATTAAAATTAAAATATATAAAAAATTTAATAATATAATATTTAATAAAAATAAATAAAAATTATAAAGAATTTATTTAGCATTCACCTGAAGGTGAAATTCATCACGATATGTCACAAATTTTAAAGCTAAAAAAAAAAAAATTGATTTTTTAGGATGCTAACCATTTTTATTTAGTGTACCAAATACCATTATCAAAGCAATTTTTAAAAAACAACATACCTGATGAATTTTACCTTCGGTAAGCGTTAAAACTGTTTAATTATAAATATATATTTATATTTATTTGTTTATTTTTTTTGTTTAGTAAGTTCTGTTTTTTGTTGATTTTGCAATAGGTTTTATTTACAACTAATAAGCATAAATAATATATTGACAAAAAGTTTATATAGTTTTTCTAACAGAGATTTTTTTTATATAACTATTTATTCTAAACAAATTTTTTTAAAGATTTTTAATTTTTTAAAAGATTTGGGTTTCTGACTGATTTATCAAATAGTTTTGGCGGGTGCCGGTTAAATCCCGACAGGTTATAATTAGGGATGGCAAAAAAACGATTTTAAATGATTTTTATGATTTTTAACTTGATTTAATAAATTGTTTTAAAACATCGG